ATGTATTCCCGTTCATTGGAGAAAAGAGAGGGGAAATACAGATAATTTTTACACCTTATTTACAGTGTAAATTCACTTGTTGCGATAAAAAGAAATATATATATATATATAAGATAGCATGATAGAAAGGGAAAAAAAGAAAACGGAATTTCTCGTACGTAACCGCGATTAAACATCTTCGTTCTTGGCAGTCACCCATTACAGGGATCGTTTAATAACGCTGCTCTTGCCGTTAACCTCGTAAACGATGGCAACAGTGTAATATTACGGGAGACATGAAACTTGTTCGAACATGTTCGCGGTAGACGCGTGTCGCGCGTCGAGCGATAACGCTCTTTCCCGCCGCGATAATTGCCTCGATAATTAAAGCACTTTGTTGATTGAGAGAGACCTTAAACTTTGGATGTTTCTTCTTTCTTAGAGTGTTCTCGTGATCGAATTTCGGGTGAATCAAGTGAATCATCCTCTGATTATATCATGTGGATTCAATGTTTTTGAAATAATTAAGCATAACGCACGAGAGCACTTCTCAAAATGTATAGATAATATACAATAAATTTGATTTACGTGGTCTAATTTATGTCAATCGATGCGTGTGCGGCAGATAGTTTCGAGACCGACTAGAATTAGAATCAGACGCGTAAGTGGTTTTACGCTTTCGTCAGCATCTCTGGATATTAAACCAGAAGCTTTAAATCATCATAGTGATGTGGACGGGCACGCTTGTTACTACATAGACATGCATATGCACGGAATAAGGAGGCCTCTGTTAGAATTCCGCAGAAGTCGAAGACAAATGAAGATATAGTGCATTACGCCCAGTTGCGAACACGGCATAATTTATATACGCGCGGCGTTATAATCTATTATCGCGTTATTATCATGTCAGTATCACGGGATAAGCTCGTTCCACACAGCGGACTTTAGCAAAGCCGATTTTATGTCGCGAGGCTTTTTAAATGTTTCCTTTCCTTCACGTATTTCCTTGAAGTATTTTTTACTTACTGAAATTATATCGTAAAGAATTATGCCGAAATTTCGACGAAATCGAGATCCTGTCCGGTTTCTGCAGTTTGAAACAAAGTAGCGGAGGTTCCCGGACCGATGACCAGCATCCACCCACGCGATCGCGGTGGTCGTTCTAAAAATATATACAGCCCGGTACGGAGCGCGTACGTGATGCTACCGGTTTGAAATCTCGGTCGCTACCGGACAGCGACCGATGCTACGCAGCGCGATATGGTGCTTCATATTGAAATAAAACGATCAGGAAGGAAGGGTTGCTTGCCGGACATTTCTAGAATCGCGAAATCGTTAATCGCTAAACGCGGAGATCGCGTTAATCGTTGATCAGTGCCTCCGTGACAGTGACTCCAATTACGTGGAGCTCGAAGGCAGTTATTAAGCCGACATTTGCATCCATGTCTAATAGATTTGGCAAAGTACGATTATGATTTTTTTCACGACGAAAGAAAATTGCAACGCCGAGAATTTATTTATTGGGTCGTCACTTGAAAGTCAAGTGAAATGAGTATATATAACACATGAAATGAGTATATAATATGATGTAATTTTAATTCTAATATCGATGATAGAACTTTTAATAAAATTGGTCGATAAGGAAATTAAAGATTGGTAAGAATACGAAAGTGCCCGAATATATCAGATCTAAAAGAAATTTAATCAGAGATTTCGCTATTATGAGATTGCATCTATATTTTTACTTTATTATTACTTCGTGAAAAGTGATTTTATTTAGATATGTGTACAACTGAGATTGATTGTCAAAAGCTGATAAGACACATATTGTCGTAACGTATAGTGTAGAGAGAATAAAGATTAATTTTAAGTTTGATTTATATAATACATATAATGATTATTTAATAAATTGAATAACAACTTTACTTTTTGTATATTGCGATATTTTGTTTTACTAGAAATACATTTTACCTACTTATCTATACATTATAAAAAAGACACACTTGTGTTAAGACGTGTGATAGCTCAATCTTATCTGTTAATACTTAAAAATTCATTTGTTACATACATTGTGCAATATTTCGTAATATACCAATTGAGTTTTTTTTTCTTCTTATTTTCTAACATCCCCTAAACCACTCTTGTACGTAAAAATTATTGCACAGCGTTAAAATACTCTCCGAAGTTCTCGCAGCTAAGTTTAACTTTGTTAAGCGAATCGACTTCCCGTACAATGACGGCACAATCAACTCGTCCCTCCCTAAAGTCGCCTCTTTAACTTTTACGTACATTAAAGACAATTGGCTTCGTAGAAGTGGAGCCTCTCTCATAACGAGCAGTTCCTGTAAGACGCGCGATCAAGTTCGCGAGTATCGATCCACCGCGAGAATCTCTCTGGTTTAAGGCTCGACCGCTGAAATTTTCGCGCGCAAAATTATCAATGACGGCATTGCACGGCTATCGACGCGACGCGATATCTGCGCGCATCTGGGAGGGCCGATATAAGCGTCCGTCGATAGCGACACCGCCATTTCGCCGAACTACGAACCAGGACGCGCACATCTCGACGCACGCATCTCGTGACTCCGGTTTCCACGTTCTACACACACAGTGGTAATGTCATCTCTCTGTAACGTCATCCCCGACGCGCCGAGATTCACCTGGCCTTTAACTCCCACATCCGATATCCAATGACAACGTCTCTCCGTGCACTCCACTTCTGACATTAATCTCCCGTTCTCCCCCTATCTCTCACTTTATCTTTCACTTTCTCGCTCCTCATGCTTGCATGCACACGCCAAAGAGACGTCGATCGCCTATCGATACAAGTGGTGCTCGCCCGTTCACGCTTTCGAGATTGTTTAACACGCTTCTATTGTAACGCCCGGCACGACGGTTACGTTATGCATCGATGAATTCGTAGAAGAGAAGTGCACTCCGTTTTTTTTCGTCGATTGATTAAACTTCAATCTTGCACAAATGAAATTGCGTTTCCGTGTTTTCAAGTGTTGCAAATTAGATCTCTTAAGGATAAAGCGAAGAAAGAAGGAGCGCGTGACACATTTTTGCGATACCCTTGATCCTCGGACGTGTTAAAAATTCCTAAATTAAATTTCATTGTAAGTAGTGCGCGATTAAAATTTGTGAGCGTGAATTTTACGCACGATAAAAAAAAAAAAAACAAAGCAACACTAACGATAATACAATGACTTTTTCCTCGATCCGACGTTGAATGTGTGATTTCGTTTTTCACGCGCGTCGTGCATGCCCTCGTGCAAGCCAATATGCTCATATTTATTTATGTAGCCGCGCTCTCGTGTAGCCGGCGCACGGTGCATCGTATGCATCATGAATCAGCGTGCGCAATGGCAACGTATGTACGTATTGTATTCTTGTTTCTCCGTTTTCTCGCCCATTCATCGATTGTAGAGGGGAAAAAAACAAAAAAACAAAAAAAACAAAAACAAAAAGAACTTAACCGTAGCGATGCCGCGAATATCGTTCGCATCGTCGCAAATTGTCTGGAAATCGAGCATTCGCAAGTTGTCTCGCGTTTCGTTTCGCTCGTCCGTTCCTAATTAATTATAAGTATGTCCGAGCTCATTAATTCGGCGTGTTGTCATTCGAACGATAAAATTGATCTTTGACACTGCCGACTGATATTCATTATCGCTCGAGCGTCCGTTATTATTATTGTTATCACCTATAAACGAGCGATTGATATCGAAGATGGTATCGTGTTTAATATTTATCATTAATATCAAGAAAATGCCGCCGGCATTAGTTTATCGTTGCACTCGAATCGAGTAAGTGTCCATTTAAATGTTTTGCAATGTTGCAGAGTTTGGTTTTAATGTGGAAAAATATTGAATAATCGGTGAAGTGGGACAATTGAAATTAGAACGAGAATACATCTCGCGCGAGAGTAACATTTTTTATTTTTTTTTTTTTGGTTTTT